AGAGTTTTCTCTGCAGCAAAAGGAGCTTTATTTCCTAAGAACATTCAAAATCCAAATCCTTTCCCTAATGAAGTGTCAGATGAAAGGATCTCCTTCACAAACACATCAAGAAAATGCCATCTCCCAGAATTTCATTAAACATTAAATGGCTGTGAATTAACAAGCAAAAAATGTTGATTTTTTTGACAAATTGTTATTAGTTCCATTTACTAGCTAGGACAGAATACATATGACAATTAGTTCTTCAAATGACTGCATGGGAGAAATCCCTTCTGTCCTGATGCTCTATACTTTATGATAGGCTCATTTGTTTGTGTCTAAGAGCAGATTCTCAGCTTCATTCCTTTCTGAAACCAAAGTTAGCCTCACACAGATAATGGAGCTGCTGCTAATAAAGCCAAGATGTCTGAACATCAATTTGCTGAATGGAAAATCCTGCTTATTTTGAGCTAATTCAGTACAGCAGTACCTGCTTAAGATCAATTGGCAGCAGACTATTTCCTATTTATTGCTAATTAAAATCACAGATTTCCTGTTCCAAACAGCATAAAGCCTGAAAAATTAGCTGCAGCCCGGAGTGCTATTGACTCAGCTGGGGCAGGAGATGTAGATTTACCATCCCATTGCAGGGTTTGTAAGAGCAGCGCTCTCAGGCATGACAAGGCAGCAGAGGGAGCTCAGGTGCGAGGCAAGCTCTGAGATTTGTCTCTCCAGGCTGTGGGGTGCACAATGGCTCAGCTGTGCCTTCCTGCCCAGCCTGGGGCACCCCAGCACGCAGCCTGCAGCCCTCCCTGGGCACACTGAACCTGAGCCCTTCCTGCCCTGCAGAGAATAATACTGCAGCTGAGTGCCAGGGCATATCTGCAGTGCCATCTGGGCTAAACCTCCCCCGCCCACCCTGCTCCTGTCACTCCACACTGAAATGTTCCCAACCGATTGTGCTGGGCACAAACACGGCCATTCTTTCTCTTCTGGAACACAGGCCAGCCAGGAAAGCACACAGCCTTGGGAACAGCATGACAAATGGAAATATTGGAGTGGTCCTGAACTGAGGATGATCCCACCCAGTGCTTTCAGCATTGCCCAGAGCATTCAGTCCCTGGGATGTGAGACTCCTGAACTGCTGAGTTCCCAGGAGAGCAGCACCTGCTGGGCTCCACTGTGGTGGCACCAAACTTGAGAGGGCACAGACGAGGGCTGTGCCATCCTGTGGTGGCACTGAACTTGAGAGGGCACAGACGAGGGCTGTGCCATCCTGTGGTGGCACTGAACTTGAGAGGGCACAGACGAGGGCTGTGCCATCCTGTGATGGCACCAAACTTGAGAGGGCAGACAAGGGCTGTGCCATCCTGTGATGGCACCGAACTTGAGAGGGCACAGACAAGGGCTGTGCCATCCCTGTCTCCCTAATCCACATGAACTGACACAAGATGCACTTAGAGCAGGAAAATGCCTATTAATAAATCAACCCCTCTGCTTTTTTTACCCCTCCAAAAATCTCTGCCTCATTCCCACATCAAAAGCCTGAAACCTGCTCAGGCTCATCTTGGGTGATTTAATCAACCTCAGCAGTCTGGGCTGCATGTCCACCATGGCAGAAGTGACCCAGAAAGGTAAAACTCTCCAGGAAGGAGCCCTGCATCTCTCCTGAGCTTTGGCCAGCCAGGCGCCAACAAATGCTTCTTTACTGGCACCCAGTCCTCAGTGGGACAGGGATACACCTCCTTCACAGCTCCATCTCACACCCCCAGGTAACTAGGTGCCTGAGCACTGCACATGTGGACAGGTTAGAACTCCAACCATTCATTTTTGTTACTGTTATCCTTTGTTTCTCAAGTTTTTGAAGGATGCCAAAGGTCATTCTGGAGGATCTGGTCGGGAGATAACATTCAAAAGCAATTATTAGAGTCTGACTTTGTTACTAGCATTTTCTTGGACACCCCAAAAATACTTCTTCAAACAGCTTCCCCAGTCAGTCTTCTATTCATTTCTCTGGTAGATTTTTTTTAAACAGTGCTTGGTGATAGCAATAGCATGGCAGAAAACAGAATAGGTGTATAATTAATGAAATAATTGTGTTGAATGTATATTCAGTACTTTAAGTAAGTGAGAAGTACTTCAAGTTGTCTTCCATGTTGCTCAAATACTTCTAGAATTATTTTGGTTGGAAACTATGTTTAAAAAGCAACTGGGCAGGGACTGTCTGTTTGTGACAGGCCCCTGCAGAACCAGCCAAGGGTTTTAGGGTCTCTGTTCCTGCACTAAGCTCAATAACACTTATTCTATCTGCATTTCTTATTAAAAGGATGCAATCAAATTAATAATGACAAATATAAATATTAATGTGTTGATATTTAGATGATAAAATGTAGTTTTGTTGTTCAGAGAAATAAGCTGCTCCTTTTTTCTGCTGGCTTGAAACAGCCCTTTGTTTATCTTCATCTTGTTTTCCAACATAACTTATTTATTTACAGCATGTCAAGGGAGAAACCTAATTTCTAAGGACATTTTCCAATTAACTTTCCTAATTAAAAGTTAGACTGAATTGGTTTGTAAATGGCATGATGTAAAGCCCCCAGAATGAACAGATTCTGGGAAGTGACTGAGAATGCCCCTCCCCAGGCAGGATGGGGAATGCTGCCCCTGTTCCCTGTGCAGGTGTCCCAGACCTCGCCTGGATTCTGAGCTGCCTGATTGGATCAATGCCATTTGCCCCCAGAGGCTGTACATGGCCAGGGAATGCTGCTGCCCTGGGCTCCTGGTAGTGCTCACAGGGAGTTTGCACCCAGCCTGGCTTTAGGGGGTTTTGAGCCTGCTCTGGATGGGAATCTGCACCAAGAGTCTCTGCCGTGATGCAGCTCCATGGATTTCTGCAGGAGTCCAGGGCCAGCCCAGGGAATGCTGCTGCCCTTGGTTCCCAGTGCTCACAGGGAGTTTGCACCCAGCCTTGCTTTAGGGGGTTCTGAGCCTGCTCTGGATGGGAATCTGCACCAAGAGTCCCCACCATGACCCAGCTCCATGGATTTCTGCAGGAGTGCAGGCACAGCCCAGGGAGTGCTGCTGCCCTTGGTTCCCAGTGCTCACAGGGAGTTTGCACCCAGCCTGGCTTTAGGGGGTTTGAGCCTGCTCTGGATGTGAATCTGCACCAAGAGTTCCTGCCGTGATCCAGCTCCATGGATTTCTGCAGGAGTGCAGGGACAGCCCAGGGAATGCTGCTGCTGCACTGATCCAAACCTCGGCCACTCACTGAAAGCTTCAGAGAGAATTCACCATTTCAGCAGGGACCGTGATCCTGTATTGAGTGCCCTCAATGAAGTTTGTGTGAGGCTCTCAAATCCTGTGCTTGAGCTGCACCCAGACACAGGAACTGGAGCCTGGGGATCACACTGTCCTCTCTGACTGGGGGATCAATTACAGACTCACCCACTCAACAGCTCACAAGAACTGGGAAAATATTTAAATCCAATAGAGCCAAAGATGGTTGCAAACCACTTTAAAGCCCTGGAATGACTTATTTCCCCAGTGCATTAATGGCAGTGAATAACCACACTCTTTGTGGATGCAAGAGCATTTCACATCTAAAAATAACTTACACTGTGCACTGATCACAAATCTAGACATACCCAAGGCAGCCTAGAGTCACAGATCAATTTATAATACTTATTAAAAAAATAAATAAAATAAGCTTAAAGCAAAATTACATGTTCTACTTGCTCCATATATCGTGGACATGTGCCATGAGTTATGGCAAACTTTCTCTGAGACACACTAATTTAGATGAATGTACTTCTTAGCAGTTTCAGTACTAAAAATACCATTTTTTCCTCATCTATTGAAAATACAAGGCAATATTCCCTATACATTTGGCAGGTATAAACACTTGGCTGCCCCCTGCTCACATCCTACCATCTCACAACAGCTTCACACACATTTTAAGCAGCGCTTTCCATGCTTTAGTACTGAACAAACAGATAAACGTGCTTTGATGTACTTGCTGTGCAAGAAGAGTAGTTTCCATGTCCCCATAAAATGCTTTCAGAAATAATAATGATAGTAATAACAAAAATAATGACAAAAAAGCCGTAAACTCCAGTAGGGCCTGGCTGTAGCTGGAGAACCCCAATGACTCTGGGCTTTGAGGACAATCAGTCCCTACACGGTTTAAATTAGAGTGCTTGTGTGCAGACAGCAGCATTGTACTCTGCCTTTGTGGTGGTGTTTGGAGCCACACGAGGCACAGCTTGGGCAGGCAGCTGAGGAAAGCTGATGGCTTCATGCTCCTGCCCTTCCTGGTGCCAGAGGGAATGGAAATGCTGCTGTGCTCAGCACAGGCTACCAGGGAACCTCTCTGCTGCAGCTTTGGCACGTGCTAAATCCCCTTTGCAGCCAGCAGGGACCCTGGCAATCCATAAATCTGCCTTTCCCCCTCCTGTTTGCCATGCAGGGGAAACTCTGACCTCACTGTTAATGCAGCCAGTTAGCAAAACTTGAGGAGACCACAAAACTCCTTTCTGGGATTGCTGGTTTCAACACAGGACTGGGAACCATCAGAACTGGATTCTAATTGTGTCCTGCAGATAATTCACTCTGAAAGATGCTTCAGCCAAAGATTTCAAACACTGACACCTCAAGTAAGGCAGCAAAATGCAAGTTAACCAAGCAAAGCCTTCAATGCACAAAAAACACTGTGCTGGTTTGAGCTGGAAGCACCACAAGGAAGTTTTATCTTACATAATATTCCTCTTTGGAATTGTCTATTGATTTTTGTTTCAGACCCACACATTTAAAACTCACAGCCAAATTTGTCTTGACAGTGTCAGTTCAACTGAGCTACAAATATCTTCCATTTGTGTCTATACCTGTTCTATTTGCCAGGTTCAGCTTCAGAGTCCTTTAAAATTAGACTGGTTCAAAAGCGAGGTTTCCTCAAAAACATATTCTAGGGTAATAAACACCTGCAATCTCTATTTCTAGGAACAACTGGCCATAATGACCAGGGGTTTTTTGGCACTTTCCATGTCATGTACACCTGCTCTGAGCCCCAGTGCATCCCTGGCCCTGCCCTGTGAGTGCCCACAGAGAGAGGGAAGCAATGCCATTGACTTATGGCAGTGGTGGCCATAAGGGCTCCCAGAGTCCCACCCCTCTTCCTGGGGGCTTTTCCCTGCCAGGACTGCAGGTGAGCTCCTGCAGGCCCTGCCCAGGCTGCTCCTGCAGCCAGGGTCACCTTGCAGAGCTCTGTTTGCCCGCAGCTGACGTTGATTCATGCTGCCAGATGGCAAAGGACAAAGCACAATCACTCAGCACAACGTGTGACCCACTTCCACTCCCAGCAATCTGCTGCCTAATGCTTGGGAAATGCGGAGACTTTGATTAAAATTGTCATTTTGTGTCCTAGCTGGCCCACATGTGGCATGTGCACTCTGCATCCCAGACACATCTGCTCCACAGGGCAGGGCCATGGTGCCTCCCTTCCTCGTGCAACAGGGCCTGTGATGTGTGAGTGCCACCTCCTTGTGTCCTGCAGGCGCTCTCAGAAATAATTACAGAAGTTATTGCTGTACATATGGACAGCTAATGAAGAGCCAGGCCCCCCATGCTGGCACCACACAAAGCAATGGTGAAACAGCCATGAGTCTGCTCCAGAGGAGAGAACAGCGACAGGACACACACAAAATTCATGGAGGGCTCCCAGTCAAACCCGAGGGAAGTCATGGGGAAACTCTGTCCCTGCTCAAAGTCACAGGTATATTTACAGGAGCAGCAGGAGCAGGGAATTTCTGCAGCAATGAGCTCCTCTGTGAAGGGATGTGAGAGTAATGGAAGTGACATCTAGGCACTGCAGGGCAGCGTCCCCAGATTGCTCAGGGCTTTAGGAGAGTGCCAGGCTGGCTCTGCCCCTGGCTGCTAGCAGGGGCTGGCCGAGGGAAACACAGTCCTAGAGCAGACAGGTAACACAATTCCCACCTCTGGGCACCCCTTCCTGGTCCCGATCCCCCAAACCCTGCCCTAAGTCCTGCAGTTCCAGTTTCAGCTCCTGTCAAAGTGTCACTCAACAAGAACTTCAAGAAAACATTAAATTCTTGAAGTGGTCTCCAATCCCTGTTGAATCTCCTCAGCTTCTGACAGATTTTTCAAGGGCTTGGCACCAGTAAATGAAGTGGAACTGCTGAAAGTCTCCAGTGTTGAGCAGCTGCTCTAGTGAGAGTTCAGCACCAGGGAGTTCAGTGGTGGTGAATGTGGGCACACACAACTCAGTAACTCTCCTAAAGGAAAGCAGAATGCTTGCTGAAACACAAAGCCTTCAGGCCAGGAGGACACAGAACCCAGAAAGCCTGCAGAGAAACAAGGCTGCCATCACATTTACACTGAGGAGGAGGTGACAGAGCCTGCCTGGAAACCTTCCCATCACATATTAGTAGTGTTTATTCGGGGAAAATGGGAAGGACAAACACAGGCAGAAGCAGTTGTATCACGGTGTAGACACTGCTAATGAGGTGACTGTAGGTGGCAGAGTAAGTGAAAATAATTGGCAGGACCCTGCCTAAAATAAAAACTTATCAGCAAGCGAAATATCTTATTACTGAATAAAGATTTGCAGGGCTACTCTCAGAATATATCATCACATAATCTGAGTGCCACATGTGGTGTTACCTTCAGCAAGAAGCTCCCAGGGCTGGGAAGATGACTAGGAAGGGTATTCCAGTTGTAGATGGAAGAGAAAACAGAAATATTTTACAACCAAGCAGAAAAAACAGCTTCACTTGCAGGCACCAACCTGGCCTGGTTTGTCACACATTTCAGGTCCCTGTCACACATTTCAGGTCCTTCCTGGGGCCTGAGTGAAGCAGGGAGGCTCCCCTGGGCTGCTGCATTTGTGTGGTGTGGAAAGGAGCCAAGGTGTCTGTGCCCTGAGCTGTGCTGGGAACTGTCTGCCCTGCAGTTCATAAACAAGGTGCCACAAAAAACAAACACAACTCAAGAGAGTCTCCTCAAACAAGAGCAAAGTCAACAGAGATGCTTCATCAAAAGTTACATCCTCTGGTTTTGGTTTTTTTTTTTTTCCTCTTTGGTTCAACTTAAAAATGAATTATCTTTCAATCCTTCATAGAAAACACATGTTTTGTTAAAAATACTTTGAAATAAAAGGTCCTTTTGGGGGCAAGTCTGTCTTCTAAAGGGAAGAGAGAAATTCAGTAAAACTCATCATTGCTTGCTCTTTAGATCCTTCCAACAGCAGTTTGCAACTGCTTCCTCTATACTAAGCACTCACAAAAGGGAAAAAAAACTCTTAAATAGTGTGGAACTGCTGTAAACTAAGAACAGCAATACAATGGAAGAGTTTTGTTTGGGTTAGTGCTCCAGTTGGTGTTTTTGGAAGAGTTAGATGGATAATATTCAGGATAGCTCTTTATTTAAGGAAGGGAGCACACACCATAAATTAGAAAGTATAAATATTTAAAGGTTTGCTGAAAGTGTACACAAGCAACCTATTATGGCTGAACTGCTTTTTCTAGGCAATAGCTACAATAGATGTCCTTAAACGTGATCCCTTGGTGTAACACTGGGCAAAGGCCAAGAGGAACTCTGTTTCCGCAATGGACCCCTAGGGAATTCTTTATTTTAAAGTGCCACATGGAATGCCTAAATTAAATCAGAGGGGCAAAGAAATTGATGGTATCCAAAATGTTTGCTTGTGCAGGCAGTGCATGGCACCAGCCTGTGAATAAACAGCTCTGCCAGACCCTGAGTGCAGGGACACTGCTCCAGAGCTCTCAGCTCTGCTCTGTCCCTGCAACACAAGTGTGGATGTGCCTTTGGGGCTGCAATCAACACTCAGCCAAAAGGGGACAAAAACGTGCCCAAAGTCCCAACAGCAGCAATTTCAAACAGTTCCAGCTTGGGAGTGGCTGAGGACAAGGACACAGCCAAGCCCGGTGGCTGGGAGCATGTGCCTGGAGAATGCAGAGTTCAGATAGGGAAAAACCCTTAAACACCACAGCATGGAGAAGGGCACAGGCAAGGGGGAAGATCACAGGAGGAGATTTTCCCTCTCTCTGTGATGGAAGCCATGACCTGTGCACCATGGCATTTCCCAAGCCACAGGCAGCACTGAAGTGCCAGGGCTGCCCAATGTGCCAGCCAGGCTGCAGCACAGGGATGCCCCTCTTAGCTTGGGGACCCATTTCCCATCTGACACCTCCATGTCCCACCCTGCTCTTTGCTTGCCACTAAAGCAGTGCTGCCCAGCTTTCCATGATCAGCAGCAAAGGCACCTGATACTTTGCCGAGTTTCTTTTTTTTTGGGGAGTAAAATCTCCTTCAAACAGTTTGTATTTGAAGCAGACAACGAGCAACAGAAACTCCATTTTGTTGTTACAGCATTAGAAAGTAAAATGTGAATTTATACCTAGCTTTAACTTGTTTTCACAAGCAAAATCACAGATGAAATACAGCCTGTCTTTCTTCTTGACAGTAAAAGCTACTCTCCCTTACTTAATTACTCTTCAAATCTTAGATTTAAAATCTTAGTAGAGCACCTCAATACATCCAAGAGCCTTCTGTGCAAATTCTCCAATAATTCTTACAAAATCAAATAATTTCATCTGATGGCATGCAAGGTAAAATTCAGTTCTTGTCTCTGCAGATGAGTGGTTACTGGAATGTCAATTCTCACTCTTTAAAAGAGGGTTGGCTTTAACTTAACACCACAATTACAGAGTGAATTTCTCTTTTAGAATTTTAGTTTTTCCAAAAGCTAAAATTCCTGAACTAATGAAATGCCAATGTAGAACATTTAGCCTTAACTTTAATATTTTTCCTTGCTTTTTGTTATTAAATATGCATATAAAGATATATGTCTATCTGTAATGAATGCAACAGTAAAAGAATTATTCCTTCTGTTTTGAAGACACACAATGCAACTCATAAATCTTACTGAAACTTTAGATTGACCAGTCTGAGGAGTTGAAGCCACCTTGGAACAGTACCAGAGCATCTTGGCACTGCTTTGTATTGGCAGGCAATGGAACACCAAAATGTGCCTCCTAATTTCCCCCTCCTGCCTCTCCCCAAGCATTCCTCTCCTCCACACCCCCTACAAGTGCCCATATCCTCATTCTCGGCTGCACTTCCTTCCTTCCTCCTATTCTCAGTGTTTCCTTTTCCCTGGGAGCTGAAGAGTATCTCCTAATAGAGCTAATGTATTTTTTAAACATTTCCCTTCCTGTCTATCTGCCCTCCTGGCTCCAGCAGCTTTTCACCATTCCCGCTGCTGGTGCTGGGGCAGCTCCCTGGCTGCTATTTGAGAAATCCCTGTTCCAGAGTCCCTGCATGGCAGGAAGCACCAGCTGCAGGGTTCAACAACACCCCAAAATGATAGAAGCTTTTCTGCTGTGAAATTGTGACAGAGGCAAAAGCAAAGCACTCCATGAGCCTGTAACAACAGAGAGTGCTCCAGCAGCACTCCACCCTGAGCTGCCAGAGAGCTTGGCAGAGAGAAAGTACAAACTGGGGAAGGACAAGGAAAACATGGGAACTGGGAAAGCCTGGCTGCTGGCAGCTAGAGGGGAAGCTGCTCCTCAGATGGGCTGGGATCCAGCAAGGCTGGGCTGCCCCCAGCTCTGGGAGCCAGCACAGCTGGGTCAGGGTCAGGGCAGCAGGGACACAGAACCCTGCAGGACAAGCACTGGGACAGAAACGGGAGCAGAGCAGGGACGGGAGAGGGGGAGCCACCACCTTCTGTCCCCGAGGTGAGCCCCACAAAGGGCTGATCCCTGCCCAGCTGACCCCAGCATGGACAGCGCAAGTTGCATGGACTGCCAGGGATCAATGCCCTAACTGTGCAGGAACACACATAAACATCCCCCAGTGCCACTCCCAGGGAAATGAGTCCCAAGTTTCATGGTGGGTAACAGAAACTGAAAGCCAGCAAGAACAAGTGAGCCACTGCAGTGGAATTGAGGGGTCACAGGGAGGTCAAGGGCACCATTCTGGTGTGAATTCCAGCACTGTGTTCTGCATCACAGACGGAAGTGCAACACCCAGGGTAAAAAAGCAAGAGGGGAGATGTGATTCACTAGGGGGGTTAAAGCTGGCTAAGAGGCAGCTAAAAAAGGCACTTAAAAGATGGGTTAGAAATGTTGTTTTGTTACCAATAAACAGGTTCAGGAGACCAAATCCCAAAATTCTGTATGGACTTGCATATGAAAGACCCCATATCTGAGCCAGAAGCTGCTGAGTGCTGGAAACATTTCTAAAAGCCATTCTGTGAAATGAGTGAGGGACAGATCCTGTGTAAGTGCTGCTGGATGTGGCTGCCCTTGCTCCTGAGCTGGAGGGGAAGCTGGCAGATGCTGGGGAGCCAGGGCTGCACAGGCACTCAGGAATGCTGGCCTGAGGATGAAGGACGTGAGTGTGAGTGACAGAGGAGCAGCCAGAGCTGCAAACAGGACTGAGAGGCCAGCTGAGAAATCCTGTGGAATCCTGTGTCTGCTGAGAGGGAGACTGGAGAACTCTTGATAAATAAGAGCAATCTGTGCTTCCCATACTACAGCAAGAGTGTGCTGCACAGAGCATGGGATAGCAGAGGTCACCCTCTCCAAGTCCTTGCTCAGGAAACGTAAATCTGGTAAGGCAAAACGTGGAGTGGGCTCAGGTACTGCTCTGCAGGCTTTTCACAGAAAACACAGGCCAAGCTGGGACTCTCCCCATGGCAGGAATAATCCACTGCTGATTTTCCCTGCTGTGTCATTAATATTGCATCCTGTCACAGCCTGTGCACCAGACAAGAACTGCCCAGCCTCAGAGGGACAAACAGGAGCCCTGACCTGAGAAGCCACCACAAAGTTACTGGAGAGCAGAGCTCTTGGAAAACAATCAGAAGTGAGGACAGAAGGACATTGTTGAGTGCCCTCTGCACAGTGAGGAACATCATCTGCAAGCAGGGCAGACAATGAGCTCAACAAACCAACACCAAATGCATTTCCTCACAATATGCTACCAGCTCCAAGGGCAATGTTTCTTCTGAGCTAGAAAGTCACATTATTTGTTTTCTGATTCAACAAGCAGGGAGTGAATCTGACAAATGGTGAGGGAAGGGTGACTGGGGAGCACTGGCACAGCAGCATGCCAGTCAGGGTGATCATTACACAGCTTTGGTACTCCGTGTGTAAGAAGGTAAAAGTGCTGGGATGATGCCTTTCAGCAAAAGGTAAACATGAGAGGAGCTGCAGTGACTGGAGGGTGTGATCAGCCCCTAGATGTACTCCCACACCTCCACAGCTGAGCCAGGGATGCTGGACACACAGTGATTGCCCAGCTAGGGCAGTAAGGAGTCAGCTCATCTCGTCTGCAGGAGCAGGAATTGCCTACCAGGATGTACCAGAGTACAGCAGAAAACAGTGCAGGAACAGAAAAGGGTTTCATTACTGTACCAACACAACAAAGAGAGTGGGACTGTGAATCTACCACTGTTAATCTCCATTTAGGTACAAGAGCTCCCAGAGATGGAGTTTTCCCTATCCCCACACCAGGTGGGGACGCAAATGCATCTGGATAATCCCAGGAAGGAGGACTGCTGGATTAATAAACATGAAGAAAAATTAGAAATGTAATTTCCAGTCAGAAAAATGGAACAGGAACGTGATGGGGAGGAAGGGAACATTTGTTTTCAAGCCACCAAATGAGGCTTTCACAATGAACAGGAGGGGAAAAACAAACAGTGACAGGCAGAATGGTTTGTGCAGCTCCAGAGTAAGGGTTCCACGGAGAGGAGAGATTCTGTGCATTAATTGGGGAGCCACAGCCATAATGAATGCAGGATGACATTTTGAGCTTCACTTGCCTTCTCCCCTGCCAATCCATCTCCCTGCTTTGCAATCTGTCACTCCTGAGGATGTGTTAATCTCTGGGCTGAGGAGATAAATCTGTTTGGGCCCTTGAGGAGCAGCTACCTGTAAAGCACTGCAGAGAGCCTCTCTGGGAGGGAAGAGCCACTGCAGTTTGCTGAGAGGAGAATTTATCTATCCAGCAGATAATTCTCAGTGAAGTCCTCCATGACTTCCTCCTCTATTTACTGCCTCATTTGCACTTCTATAGCCTCTATCATCTGAACGCCTCAAAATGCCCCATGTGCTTAACCTAACAAATCCCCAACACAATTCAAGGAGCAGCAGGGCAGTGCCATCAGTGCTGAGCAGGGATGATGGAATTCCTGCCACTGGAGCTGGAAGTTGGGGCACAGATACTCTGTGTTTTCTACAGGGTGAGAGGAAGGAGGAGAGTCTATGAAACCTGCACAGCCCCTCCTGAGCTCTGGAAGCATCCTCAGTGCCCTGTGCTGCCTTCTCTGCACCAAACCTTTCATTCCCAACCTCAGTGCCCTGTGCTGCCTTCTCTGCACCAAACCTTTCATTCCCA